TTCCGAGGACTGCTCTTGAGAGATCAGCTCTGAGAGAGAACTTGTGACTGACCCAAGGTCACACCAGCAGCTGCATGTGGTGGAGTGGGGAATCAAACCCGGTTCCCCCAGATTAGAGTCCGCGCTCCTAACCCCTACACCAAACTGGAAGACCCAAACTGTGATGGACTGACTCAAACAAGGAAGCCACGGCCCTCTGTTTGCAAGACCTTAGCAAGGCTCTTAAGAACAGGATGTTTTGGAGGACATGGATTCACAGGGCCGCCATACATTGGAAGCCACTTGATGGCACTTGACACACACAACTCCACTATATCCTCACAAATATAAGCTGGGAGGGCAGGGCGGTCCTCAAAGGGCACTGGGGCTGGACTTTACCCATGCAGAGAGGCCATTTATGATTTATATAGTTCACAAAACTTGTATCCCACCATTCTTCCCTCACCAGGGCCACCAAGGCAGCTAACAATTTAAAGCGTGCATGATAAAAATCACGTTTTAAAACCATTAAAATCGACCTCCCCTAAACATACGTCATTGAGACAATTAAAACAACAGAGTTCAAATACGCACAAGACATAAAAACAGCAAGACGGGTAGCTGTGCTTGTCTGTCTCTAGCAGCAGAAAAGAGCAAGGGCCCGGCAGCACTTTAAAGACTAATAAAACTGGTGGCAGGGGAGGAGTTTTTGTGAGTCACGGCTAACTTAAAAGCTCATTAAAGGTAAAGGTAAAGGTTCCCTTGCTCGAAAGCCAGTCGAGTCCAACTCTAGGGTTGCGGTGCTCATCTCCATTTCAAAGCCGAAGAGCCAGCGCTGTCCAAAGACATCTCCGTGGTCATGTGGCCGGCATGACTAAACACCAAGGCGCACAGAACGCTGTTCCCTTCCCACCAAAGTGGTACCTATATATCTACTTGCGATTTCTTGCTTTTGAACTGCTAGGTTGGCAGAAGCTGGAACGAGAGACGGGGGCAATATCAGCGGTGGACCGGACGGCGGCATAGGCGGAGCCAGAAGGCGCAAAGACGCAGAGGCGTAGGCACGGCGGAGCCTAATGGACAGAGCCAGAGCCACGCCGACGCGATCTGTGCGACAGATGGGCCCACCGGGAAAAAGCCGACTCCGAAGACCACCTGAAGAAGGAGACGAGAGAAGCCGAGCCGAAGCCGAAGCCGAGCCGAAGGAACAAGTGAATCACACCACTGTCAGTGCCGGTAGGCAGCCCCCACCCTTGACTATGTGTGTGCCCATAGATAGGGATAATGAAATATGTAAGCCGCTCAGAGTCCCCCCGGGGTTCGAGCGGGGTATAAGCTGAATGTATAATAATAATAATAATATGTTGGCAGGAGCTGGAACTAGAGACGGGAGCTCACTCCGTCATGCGGCACACTCGGGTCTCGAACTGCTGAACTACCGACCTTCCACGGCCTGCAGTTCAGCGTCTTAACCACTTGAGCCACCGCAGCTCCTTCAAAGCTCATTACCCTGCCGCAGATTTTGTTAGTCTTTAAGGCGCTACTGGGTTCTTGCTCTTTTTTCCACTGATAAAAACAGCAGTTAAAGCATTGGTTAGGAAGGTGGGATCCACGGGGGGAATGCCAAATGAAAACATACAAGTCTTCACCCACTGGTGCAAGACAGCAGCAGAAAGGGACAGATGCCTCTCCCTGGGAAGAGAGTTTCGGAGCTTTGGTGCCGGCATCAAGAAGGCCCTCCCCTGGGGTTGCCACCTGCCGAATCTCAGAAAGCGAAGGTACCCAAAGCAAGGCCTCCCAAGATGACTGTAGTGTTCGGGCAGGTTCATAAGGGGTCAGGCAGTCCTTCAGGTATGCTGGTCCTATAGGGCGTTGAAGGTCAAATCCAGCACCTCCACAGGAATCATAGAATCCTAGAATCACACAGAGTTGGAAGGGGCCACATAGGCCATCTAGTCCAACCCCCTGCTCAGTGCAGGATCAGCCTAGAGTAGGGGTGGCTCCCGGCAGGGCAGCTGGGGAAGCGAAGGGGAGGCATACTTTTTTCTCCATCCCTACCTCCCGTCTATTTTCTCTCTCTCTCTTTCTTTCCACCTCTCTCTTTTTCTCTCGCTCTTAGACAAATAAATATCATTAGCAAACAAATAAATATCGCTGGACAAATAAATGTCATTATCAATATCTGTTTTTACCCCTTTTGTTTTTATTTTTGGCAGTCTCGTTTAATGTTAATTAAAAAAGCAAATTTGTGTATTTTTAAATAAAAACGTGTGTGTGATATCTGATCATGTCTTCAGGCTCTCAAACAGCTGATGTTTGTTCTATGTGGCTCTTACGCTGAGCAAGTTTGGCCATCCCTGGCCTAGAGCATCCCTGACCAGTGTTCGTCCAGCCGCTGCTTAAGGACTCCCAGAAGCCACAGTGGCCTGGCTATGAGTCCAGAGATAAAAGTATCAGTCATAGGCCAGTGACGACGACTGAGCCTGACTTCCAGCCAAGCGGCCTCTCAGGCTGGTCTGTCTCACTGACGATACTGACTGGCGGATGCCAGCTTCTGCCGAAGGGCATGTTCAGTGCCCCTCGGCCTCCTTGGGGTATAAAACGTCACAAAACCGCAGACGGCGGCTCCTGGATCTCATCCAAGGTTTCCTCCTTCGTCGCACCCAAAGCCACAAGGTGGTTTGGAAGGAGGCCTCGGGCTTGCCTCTTCTAAACACAGAAAGTGAATCTGATACTCCGATGGCAGCAGTCCCCAAGATGCCTCGGTAATGCACCAAAATCCCACATGGCTGTCCGAGGGAGACCATCAACGGCTTTGGTGGATCTCTCCCCACTTTCCTAGCATCTGCGTAAGCCAAGCGTGCGTCACCCGCGAGTCACCAGACTGAATGCCTGTTCCCAGCTATGCACTGGGGCCCACCAGATATGTCATAAGAACAGGGTTGCCACCTTCCAGGCGGGGCCTGGAGATCTCCCAGATTTACAACTGGTCTCCAGACAACAGAGATCAGTTCCCCTGGAGAAAATAGTTCGGTTGGAGGGTGGACTCGGTGGTATTATACCTCACCGGATTCCCCCCCTTCCCAAGTTGCACACCCCAAGATCTCCAGCAGCTTCCCAACCCAAGGTTGGCAACCGTGTTTTTTTGCAATCCTGGGCAAGCACCAGCCAACTTGCACAAGTTATGACAGTCAAAGGCATACCCTAAAGGTATACAAATCCTCTTGGTTAGGCGCCAAGGTTAATTTGCTTCTTCCCCTTACTCAAAAAAAAAAAGAGGCATCTTTCCAGACACGTGACAAAACTGAATAACAGAACTAAGCAGTACAAACGAGGACCGAAGGCAAGTGAGAGGCAAGTACAAAAGGCCAGAAGAGCCGAACTAAGAACACCTCACAAGATTGGCCAAAAAACAAGAATTGTTCTTAGCAG